TCGATTACTACTATAGGTCTTCCTGATCTTGTGATCTCTACTCGTAGATATGAACGACAACCACCCTATGCCGCCTCATCCTCCGATGATGTCGGTACAAGAGCACCTCCACCGTATCTACGATGAAATCGGACACCTTCATCATATACAAGCTATTACAATCGTAAGTAAAATATTGGACGATGACATAAAATATTGCCGTAACGATTGAAACCACCTTAACTTCGCACGAAATTGCAGCAGAAACAACAAGCTCTGGAAGCACGACTGACACAGCTGGAAGCGTCGACATACGCATCAATCTCGCTACTACTTCGACAAGAGCTCAGACGAGCTGAAAGAAATGACCATTAAGCTGCCATCCGCCGATCACAAGCCTTGTTTTTGATCACTTTGAGCTAGATGTTACACGCCGAATAAAGGGAATTCATGAAATAGCTTGTTCCAGCACATTGATATTATACTTCCAGACTCGAAGTTGAGGTTGCTCCTCTCCACAAAAAAAAACTTCCATTACATGACCGATAGATGCTTCTCAGCATCTTGGCAGTTACAGTACACCTTATTATGAACTGAATCGTTCGCCTACCCGCAACACATTACAATTACTCATCAGTGTCATACGATTAACAAACAACAGCAACACTACCGTAACACGAAACTTTTGTTGGCTCCTCCCAACATATCATAACTCTTCAAAAAACATATAAATCCGTGACATCTTCGCCGGTATAAAAGAGCCAAACCCCTCTCCTCAAACACAGATCGACGGCATTTCTCTATCATGTCCTTTCTTCCAGTTTTTCATAATTTCCTCTAGGCGGAACTGCCTTATTGCCACACATAATCTTGCGTTCCGGTCACCTTTTGTGTTACCAAGAATACGATAACTCTCCTTTCAGAATGTTGATAATCAGAATCTCGACAATATTGTCGACGATAACTCTGACGACGACGACAACGAAGATCAACTTCAAATGGACGACGAAGAAGATGAAATTCCCTTCGATCACGACGACTTCAACAAGGCAGTGCCAAGCCACCAAGAACCTCAGCAAATGTGGCCAACGAGTTAAAAGCTCTCAGTCCGCGATTGCCACCCTCACAAGGACTGTTACTAACAATTCGCCGGTATAAAAGAGCCAAACCCCCTCCTCAAACACAGATCGACGGCATTTCTCTATCATGTCCTTTCTTCCAGTTTTTCATAATTTCCTCTAAAGCGGAACTGCCATTATTGACACACATAATCTTGCGTCTCCGTCAACTTTTGCCCCTCTGACGGGGAAGACCCCACTTGTTTTCGTTGAAGCTGGTGTAAAAATCAACGCAGAGAGGTTTACAAAAATATCCTGGAGGAAGTTCTCAAGCCGTGGGCCAACTCCCATTTCGGAGAAGCCTACTGGTGCTTCCAGCAGGATTCTGCTCCAGCACACAAAGCAAAGATGGTCCAGGAGTGGTGCGCCGAGCACCTGCCCGACTTCATCAGACACGACGAATGGCCCTCCAGTTCTCCTGATCTAAACCCGATGGATTACTCTGTGTGGTCCATCTTGGAGAGCAAAGCGTGTTCTACCAGACATCCAAACTTGGACTCTCTTAAGGCGGCGCTTTCAAAATCTTGGGACGAAATCGATGACCCAGTGCCACATGCGAAGCATTTGTCGAACGTCTGAAGGACTGTGTGAAGGCTAAAGGAGATCATTTTGAGAAGCATTAACATTTTTTGTATTGTCATGTTTGTAGTAAATAATATTGATAATTAGAATTGATTTGTGAGAATTATTGTCAAAATGCCATTGAAAATTTAGTGCACCAGTAATTTTGCCCCACCCTGTAATACTATACTATACTATACTATATGTTATACTTATACTTATAAGGCTTATAAAGGCGCAATAAAGGTCAACAACATAGGCCAAGAGAGTACACCTGTGGAAGAGACAACAATCCTCCAGAGAAATTCTTTCTTCAGGCTCATAATACCTTCTTGCCTACTGGACAAGCAACAGTCCTTGATCCAAGAACTGAGAAATGACAGGGAGCACCTCAAAAGCAACGAAAATTTCGTTTTGGGGGGGGGGGGAATAGGAGGAAAAGTCCTCCTAATTACCGAATAGCTTCGTACGATAGAACAAGCGGTGGAGCAGATCAAGAATCTGGCGACGCTTTGCTCTCACGGACCGATTGTTCAAGGTACAGGTTCAGAATGAAGAGGTCGTTCCATGAAGAGGTTAGAAGCGCGAGTTCGACGTTCAAGCAAGCAATGTGCTAGATTTTGTGGTTAGAAACACGAGTGACTTCGAAAGAATCGGCGACGAGTTCTGCAAAGAGAAAAGAAAAGCTGAGAAAGCTGGATGGTTGGGACAAAAGCGAGCAGCTCCTTCATATTCTCCGGGAAGAAATGGCTCTGGAGGCCCAAGCAACTACGGAGCAGATCAGAAATTTAAGAAAAGGGAGGCTGAAATAGCTCGTTTCAAAGAAATACGGGCGAAAGAGCGAGAGGAGACGGGAAGACCTGGTCCGAGTCGCGTACAAGTGACAGCAGATGCCTCAGGTGGAACAAAAGGAGGCGCTGCATTGGAACAAGTGCCCATTGAGATGGAAACTGATGAAGATTACTTCGAGAAAATGGTTCAAGAAGTACAAGAGGACGAAGAGATGACGGATACGGAACAAGAAGAAGAACGTGAAGACTCTTCGGGGCGAATTATTCAACTCTGCCAACAAGCCCTCGAGTTCGAACAAGTTCTTCTGACGTTACCCTATAAAGAGATTGGAAGCAGCAACAGGATCACCAAATCTGTGTCTTTTGTGACGCTGTAGACCTTCATTTCTCAGATTCTTGTCTGGAGATACAAGATGAGCACAATCGAAACACAAATAAGACGAAAGGTTTGGCGCGAACGTTACTGCTCTCGCGTCAAGTGCAGATTTCGTCCAAATAGTTGCTATCACCACGCACTGCGTACGGTACTAGACCAAAGAGCGGAACGAATAAAGCGGCTGGAAGAGGAGATCAAACATCTACAATTAGAGGGGCGATTCAAACGGGCGGAGTATCGACACTTCGACGAAGTTTCAAGTGAGATATTTTGGCGATTGTAATTGTTATTTTCTATTCATTCTTATGTAGTTAAGTATGTGTTGTCCTTTTTGCCATTTACTTGTTGGTATGTTGGTTCTTTGAAGCTCGTGGGTGACGATTATGTTATTAGATATTCAAGAAATAAGCTGCTTCATTCAGTATAAAAGCAGGTGAGGAGAAGGAGCTGGGCAGTTTCTTGCTTCAACCACAAGTCTTCGCTTACAAGTTTGCCTAGAAAGAAAGGAATACAAGTTCTTGCTCCTCCGCCTCAAAGTTGAGATACCGAATGGTACGTCGGTCAGTATTGGAATTGTTGTCATAAAGCTGTGCTTTATACAGAGTTAGGAACAGTGAATATAATTTCCGTGTGGAACAGAGCGAAAGGCGCGGGTTTTAGTCCTCGTATGGAGCCAAAGTTTATTCACAAACCAGTATTCTTGTGGAATATTTTTTGCCAAACGCCCCAAAGCTTTGGCAGACATTTTACTGCTTGTCATGTTTTCTATTGTTCGTGCCTTCGAATAACGTCCATAAGTATGTATTCTTTGCTCAGGCATTTTCGCGTGGATGAGGCTAGTCAAGATGTTTGTGCTATGAAAATACATCTCTTGGAATACTGTTGTGTAGTGTGGAATCACTCTTTGATGGATGAGGTTCGCAATAATGAGGCTTTCGGAGAAGAAAGTGAGGCTACAAAAGTTCACAACATTACTTTTTACCGTTTGCCTTCAACCCCAACTATCCGCACAGTATGCCATCCTACAGCATTCGTTTGAATGAGCTGAATTTAATGTCTTCTGGTTAGAATTTAGGTTGACGTGGTTCTGCCGTTCATGGACTTCATCCTTTGAATGGGAGACACGGTGGTTTAATCCAGTTTGCTTGGATGGGTATCCCTATCTAACGCAGGTGAGTACAACTTTTTTCCGTGAGAGTAATATTCAGTTTTTCACGAGAATTCCCTCAATCGGTCTTTCAAGCAAAACTTTGGCTTAGCTCAAGAAGCTCTGGAGAAAACGACTATTTTATATGAAAGTGAGAAGTAATATTATCGTTATTCTAGAGAATATCCCAGTCAAGTTCTCGCAGGCGAAACTTTATATCTTAGTAAAGTTTAACCAGAGACTCTCGGAGCAGAAATTTGAAACAAATCGGAATCACGGGTTTTCAAGATGCGTTCGATCACCATCTTCCAATGATTACTTTTTATGATCGTTGGCGCTGTTGTTATTAATGTTTCTCTTAAAATCTGCTATGATAATTGTGGCCTGCTGTTTGTATATTTTTCGCCACAGGCGTGAATTAATACTGCCATGCGTTTGGAGCGTCAATGTAGTGGCGGCTGTTTCCCTGTTACTCACTAGCGGACAGTCAGAATGCGATTTAGCGATATGGCTAGGACGTGCGTCGAGTTTTCGAATCTACCGTGTCCAGCGAATGCGTTCTTATTCTTATCCATGGTCCAAATTAGCGACTCACATCGAATTCGCAAAGTCTGAATAATTGGCCTTACAACGAACAAGCTGCGCATGATTCACAGGTAAGCGTATAATAAGCCTTCAATAATATCTATGTAGATTCAAAAGCACAGTCCTTCTGTATTCTTAGAATAATTCCAGTCCCACTATTTACCCACGTTAGATCACCTAAGTTTGTTTAGAGTTGTCTAGAGTTTGCCCTCCAATCGTGTAGGTAAAGTTATGACATAAGGATAAAAATTTTCATTTGGATGATATGCACACATAAGGGGCCACAATGAAACATATATGGGCACATTCGATATATGGAAGTGACTTTAGCGGAAAGAATCTGTTTAGAAAAAACAGCGATTACAGCCGGTACCTCACGCGTAGACAGTGCGAATGGAGTCTAACGAAATTGTTGAGTAAAACTGTCCAAGAAAAAGAAAACTTCAACAAACAACGGGAATGCGCATGCTAGTGCCGAAAGGCGTAGCTTGAACTAGGTCCTCAATATTAGTTGAGCACGAACAAATGGCTGCGAAGCGCATACTTTTGTCAATAACAATTATCAGAGCAACAACAATGAAAGCAAGAAAAGCGCTCCGAGTCTCGTAGTGAATGCTGCGAGTCATAGTTGATGGGAAATCGAGTTCGAACTTGCGGGTTGTCGGGTCCTTGATCGTATGATGTACTGAAGCGGACGCTGTGCCACCAGAGTTGTAGCCGGCTACCTAAACTGGGCGTTTTTATTGATAGGCTCGTGAGAATGAGAAAAAATGAGGTAGGTAATCAAAAGAAAAGGGAAATTAACCTGAATTGTATACATGTGCATCAGACGAAGGCCGTCTAACCGTGCTCTGGGTCGATCCGGATTCGAGAGGCGACTGATGTGGCATCGTCAGCACGACAGCTTCGGAAGCTGTCTCAGAAACGTATACGAAAATCTGAAAAGTCACCTATGTAATGAATTAATTAAATCGATGGAGCTTGATGTATGCGGAGGCTGATAAAATAAGGTCTCTAGGATCTCATGCTGAAGGAGAGATGTGGTACACTTCCTTGCGGCTAGTAAAATTCAGGTATTTCAACGAAGTGGAATCCTTTAGGGATTGAAACATTTTCGCTAGGCTTCACACCACTCCGAGTCTCCTTCACTACGAAAGTGGATTACTTCATGCGACATTACCTGTCGCACCACATGCACCCCCTTACTGAATGAGACCCGGTCTCCGTTGCATTCATCAGTACCCCAACCCACGTTTGAAGAGCTCTCGGTCATACGCATAATGAAACTTTTAAAGACAGTAGGCACGACAAACTGGATGTGTTAGAAAGGAAAACATCAACTGTAAAAGAGGACCAGAACTCCAAGGCTGCTTTCACACTTTGCGCCTTTCGCGGACGTTGCGGCTATTGACTTGACTGAACGAGGCAGTATGGAAGAGGCGTCAACATGCGCGCTGCCGCATAGCGCGTACTTAGCGCAGAATCGGTAGCTTTCGTTAGATCATCCACTACAGTCTGCATAATTCTAGATCTCCGACGCCCGCACACAGTAGTGAGTATTGACGTTGCGGTACCTTTTGCTTTTCCGTCCAACCTCATTTCTAAGTGCATTTCTTGTTAAACGGCTCAATTTTAGGATCTTTTAGTGCTATGTCCTTTGTCAAGATACTTTCCTAAGAGCCACTTCTTCCAAAATCAAGAAGTGAGGTGAGATCCCTTTCCGAGGGTTTTTGTCGTTCTCTGGCTTTTTCCCGAATATGGCACCGTTTCGCACCTCTACTTCCATATTTGGTCCACGTCAGACTGTCGTACTCAGTGCCTTCGATGCGCTGTTAAGGTGTCTGTCACAAGCCTCTACCACACTAGAAGGAACAGCTCAGGACAAGCCAGGTTGGGGAACTCCTATTTGTGGATCGGATACGGCTGCTCTGAACGTCGCAGATATTTCCAGCTTCAAACGTGCGCCTTGAGAGGCTGCACTTGCTGGGACCGCTTTGATGGCTTCTATTTTTTCTCGTCCGCAGCATGCTGGAGTCTACGCTCTCATCCGCTGTGCACTCTCGCCTGTCCTTTCTCCTTACTGCTCAGTTTCTCACTGTCTCAGTACAAATTTGGGCGACCCAATTTTTGCGTTTCATAACGGACGTTTTTCTACCCTCTTCTGACTCACTTCGCACGAGTGCTTCAATTTTAAGGTGCAAGAACCTCATGAATCTGATCCTACGGTTTTCCTTTACCTAGAATTGGTTCAGGTATATGTGTAGGTCCATGGATTTTATGTAGTACCTTTGTAAGCAGGGTGAATATTGCTTGAGGATTCCTCAACGGCACGTCGAGGATTTTCGCCTGATCCTTTACGTTCTCGCGCGCGGATATTCACTCTCGCCACCCGCGAGCCGTCTGTGCTCTCCGCGCGTACATTCACTATCGGCTCTACTCTCGCACAGCAGAGAGCGATGGTCGAGGAATTCCTCGACCATTATTCACCCTGCTTGTAAGCATCTAACATTATTCACCCTGCTTGTAAGCATCTAACTCGGACAAAAAGGGAATCTAATGTACAGACTTACAAATCAAACAGCTAATACTCACTTTATATCCACTAGCGGCATCCGTGAAATTCCCCTGGGGAAACGCTATTGCTGACCACTCGATTATAGTCGTGTAGCCGGCCTCACTTTCCTGTAAATATGAATGATTACTGAATTTTGTCGCTGATTCGTATAACTCAATGCGTTACCGTTTGTCCTCAGCGATAGTTTACTATCGATGGTGATATCGAGGCGGTGGTGTTTTGTACGATTTCCACAGGGCTGCTGTATTCGCCGTAGTCGTCCTAAATTATGCATTAACTAACAGCACTCCAGAATGGCTAGCACATTATTCAAACCTGTACCTCAGCGTTTAGAGGTCTAAAGACACATTCGTATTTAGTATCGGCGCTCAACCCTCCCAGCGTCCATTCCGAAAACTCGCCAGAGATGGTCACTGTCAGTGGATCGTCTTCTGGTGGAGTGCACGTGAGCTGCAAGGTCATAACAATGTTGGCGCTTAGGTAATCTGAGAATATTTCTTGCTATCAAGAATCACCTGAACTGCATGAGCCCTTCCGCATTCATTCGTTTTTTCCCAATCCCATGAAAATGAGGCGTGCGTTGAGTTGAGTACGGTGGTGGCGTTTGTAAACAGAACTCGTCGTGGTTCACCTGAAATTGCTCGGCTGAAGCCAAAAATGATATTGAAACCTCACATTCCCCCTGAGATCGTTGCCTCAAGTTGAGGGCACACTATGTAAATTTCCTCAAACAAGCCAAGCTAGTAAAAAGGTTGAAGACTTCAGCAGGTGCATATACGGGTACATTAAACACGGCAAATAAAAAAAAAAAAAAATTTTTTTTTTTTTTTTTTTTTTTTTTTTTTTTTTTTTTTTTTTTTTTTTTTTTTTTTTTTTTTTTTTTTTTTTTTTTTTTTTTTTTTTTTTTTTTTTTTCCTTCTTTTAATTTTTTCTTCTTCTTTCTTCTTTCTTCTTTTTGTCTTCTTTTCACTGATGCGAACATGCGGAACCAGGATCCCATAACGATTTGCGAAGGCTAACATCGTTTGTGGCCTAGTTTGCCCCTACACAAGAATACACAGTGAAACATCTGAAAAGGAAAGCATCATCCAGTGTCGTCTTGACAGTTTTCCTAACTCTTTCTTCACTCGGAAGAGCATGCTGCGCTATTCTTTAATATTGATACCCATTGACCCATTGACTGAACAATTCTATAGTGGGCAGTGCGTAGGAAAGTTTCCATTTAAGGTAACAATAATTTACTGGTAAATTTTAGTCCGACTAAAAATGGATCCCATTGAGAATGCAGACAACAATTGTCACGAAAATCTGCCGCTCTATTTTGCGAGTGTGTTCGATAAAAGGGCTATGAGGCGAGATTGGTTTAAATTGTCCGGCAGGATTGGGAAATCGTCGCAGATCGGAACTGGGATCACATTTTCCACAATAAAAAAATTACTCAAACTCTCCTCATTACTAAAATTAAAGTCTCAGCCTGATGCAATTTGTTAGCGCGTGAGATCCCATAGTAAGAGGAAGTCTGCTGTTCACTTTCCACTCGGATGCGAGGTAGTGGCATGGAGGAGAGGCTATGTTGGTCTCAAGGCCCACCATAGCTTGTTGAGAGTTTTTCATGAAAAAAAAAACGGCGCAGCTTGTCTTTCCTACCGAGCCTAAGCTAACACTGTCACAACATCTGCACAATAAGGTTGTGGAAACTGATTAAAAGAAAAGTATGCCAAAAACTTCGCAGATATCCCTGGATAACGTATTCGAAGGTACGAATAATAGCGTACCTTTGCTGTTCACAAACGCCACCGTGTCCGTACTGGTCGCTCCGACTCCTTGATCATTGACGGGCCTCACCGAAAACACCAACATTCGACATTCTTCCGTAGCATTCAGACGAACGATTGCCTGCGGTGTTTTGTGTCTGAAATCAATGTTTTAAATTTAGATTAATTAGAGGTTGAATGAGTCACCGGTTCTCACCGATGTGATGCGCAAGGAACTTGCGTTCCTGGGATGAGTTGTCCTGCTCAACTTCCTTGTCGAGCGACCAGGATAAACGGTAGCGCAAATGATCGCCTGACTGGTGAGCCTGAAATTGGAGTAAATATTCGAAGGATGCTCCCAAAAAGCGACAGTAGGAAAACCGCCTATGGGAAACAGGAGTCACGCCTGCACAGGGCGCTCGTATGATCCTCATTGATGGATCGCCCTGAAGCTTCTTCTGACTACTGCCAAACAAAACGGACTAGATCCTACCGTTTCCACGGGATCCCATTCGACCAGAATCGTAACGTTGTCCAGCGCTTTCCATTTGAGACTTTCCACAGCTTCTGAAGGCGGAGCTGGAGGCGTTTTCACCCATGTAGTTGGCGCAGATGGATCGCCCAACATCGACGTGTCCACCGACCGAACTCGGAACTGAAGGAAGAGTTACTAAGTAATCAATGATGAGTATCCTGTCGAATTCCCGAGCTCAAAAATTCAAATTCTGAGTATTCAAAATTGGCACTGCGTCAGGACTCCTTGGCGCTCACCTGGTATAAAGTGTTGGGAACAAGAGTTACAGTTATCCGCCGGACGCTTCATTCTGCAAGGAAACTGTTAGAAAGTTCAATTGTAAATATAAGAGAAAAGATTCCATTCACTTTTGAAAGTTAAATGAGCACTCCGAAAATATTTTTCAACCCATTAAACAATAGAGGCCGTAATCTTAATTTAAGGGATGTAGAATATAATAAAAAAAAAACAGGGCATTTGAAAAAGTCGTGTAAGCTCGAAATAACTACAAGGGAAGGATGGTAGGTCGAAGTGGCCGTTGAAATGAAATGTATACCTCCTGATGCGTCTCCAGACGCTGATTCCAAATCTGCCTTCCAAATCTGCTAAACGACTCTCCGAACGGAGTTATGAAGCGTAATAGCTCAGTGGTGATGGTCCGGGGTGGCAGGTAAAAGCTCGTAGGATCGGTTCCTTTGCAAATTGGTTGCTTTGCTTTTGTCTCTAGAAGTGTTGCGGACAAAAGCAAAGCAACAAACTTGCAAAGGAACCGATCCTACGAGCTTTTACCTGCCACCCGGACCATCACCACTGAGCTATTACGCTTCATAACTCCGTTCGGAGAGCCGTTTAGCAGATTTGGAAGGCAGATTTGGAATCAGCGTCTGGAGACGCATCAGGTGGTATACATCTCATTTTATACGGCCACTTCGACCTACCATCCTTCCCTTGTAAGCAAA